CTTACTTTCTTGCCCTTCATGTGCTGCATGAAAATGATATGAATAATGAAAATATGGTTCTTTCTTCGGGAGAATGGAAACATCTATGGAAACTAAAAGTCCCTCCTAAAATTCATGTTTTTCTATGGAGAGCCATTCGTAACTCGTTGCCTTCCTTGGATAACTTGGTGAGAAGAGGAATCATGCAGGTGGCACTTTGTCCTAACTGTCATATAGCTAAGGAAACTCTCATGCATTTACTTTTATACTGCCCACTTGTAGAACCAATTTGGTTTGGTTCAGCCTTGGGTCTTAGCCCTCGGCAGCTGGAGGCTGCGTCTTTTGTTGAATGGTGGAGATACATTAATGATTTCACTAAACAAATGTGCATTCCTTTTATGGTTGAACAATGTGCAATCATTTGTTGGCATGTATAGAAGGCTAGATATGAAAAATACTTTGAACATGTTATAAATTTTAATTAAAAAAAAAATTGTAACCGATTATTCAATTTCAGTGGGTTACAAATCCATTATTTTCAAAATCAATTCCAGCCGGTTACAAATTCATTGTTTTCAAAAAATCAATCTTGTGTCAGTTACAAATTCATGCCTTCCTGCTTTAAGAATGGATCTGTGTGTTTCTAAATCAAATTCAAATATTTTAACATTATAACTAGCTGTTTTATTATTATATTTTTTTTGTAACCAACGAGATGCATGATTTACTTATCAGCTTTTTCAATCTTGTAACCGACAAGATTTATTTTAAATTCATAATAGTCTCGCACTTTATTTTTCGGTTACATTATAAAAGCCTATAAATAGGCAGCCTCCATTTCTACCAAAAAGATGGATACAATTTTCATATTCTGCATTCTTATTCTACAAACACAGTATTCAAACTCTCTTTGGACAAGGAAAAGGTGGTGGGGTAAAGCTTTCTTTACAAGAGTGCAGTACTTGTAAAGATACAACAAAGATGTTGGGCTGTTATATCTTGGGAGCGGCGTGACCATAAAAAACTATTGCACCAATGACACGAAACGTCCTAAAGAGAGTAATTGATCCATGCCTCAGCTCAAACTCCTCATACTTTCATTGATATCTTTCTACCTTTCATCTTCATCTTTAATTAATTGTTTTTTTCTATTCTTTTGTCTATTTTCTTTTCTATTTATTTTTTTAAAAAAAGTGAGTTTCCCTCGTGAAAAACTTGTTAAGCCTGCTAATGATCTTAACATGCCTTTTCGTTTTAATGGTGTAGCTGAACGTAAAATTGTACTTTAATTGATTTAACTAATGCTATGCTTGTTAGTTCATGTGCACCATTTAATTTGTGGGGTGAAGCTGTTTTGACCGCATGTTATATTTTAAATCATATTCCTAATAAGAAGACTAACTTGACTTTTTTTGAGTTGTGGAAAGGCTATAAGCCAAATCTTAGTTATCTCAAAGCTTGGGAATGCTTGGCTTATGTAAGGTTGACAAATCTAAAAAGACCGAAGTTGGGTGCAAAAGTTGCGACATGTATATTTATTGGGTACGTAACTACAAGTAAGGCATATAGATTCCTTGATCTTGATTCTAATGTTGCTATTGAATCTGCAGATGCTATATTTCATGAAGATAAATTTCCTTTTAAACTTAGGAAAGATGGAAGTCATGATTTTTCAAAGCAAAATGATTTTGAACCTAGTTCCTCAATTTCATCTCATTTTCAAAACCAAGAGGACATAGATTTTGAACCTAGAAGAAGTAAAAGAACACGTAAAGAAAGAGATTTTGGTTCAGATTATTACGTATATAATGTAGATGGAAAACCATTGTCTTTTTAAGAAGCTTTAACCTCTTCTGATTTTGATTTTTGGAAAGAAGCTATTAATGATGAAATGGATTCCTTGATTTCTAATAAAACTTGGAAGTTGGTAGATTTACCTCCTGGTTGTAAAACAATAGGATGTAAATGGGTTTTGAGAAAAAAAACTTAAATCGGATGGAAGCATGGTTAAATCTAAAGCAAGACTTGTTGCGAAAGGTTCCAAACAAAAAGAGGAACTAGACTTTTTTGATACTTTTTCACGTGTAACAAGAGTGACTTCCATTAGAGTACTTATAGCTATAGCCGCCATTCATAACATGCTCATCCATCAAATGGATGTTAAAATGACATTTTTAAATGGAGACTTGCATAAAGAAATTTACATGGATCAACCAGAAGGTTTTGCTATGCTTGGCCAAGAGGACAAGGTATGTAAATTGACTGAATCTCTTTATGGTTTGAAACAAGCTCCAAAACAATGGCATGAGAAATTTGATACTTGCTTCATAGAAAATGGTTTTAAATCAAGTGATAGTGATAAATGCATATATTTTGGATTCTTTAATAATTATCATGTTATTATATGTTTGTATGTTGATGATCTCTTGATTTTTGGTTCAAGTTTAGAGGTGATTAACACTACTAAATCATTGTTAAATAAGCATTTTGACATGAAGGATTTGGGTGAGGCTAATGTGATTCTTGGCATGAGAATAACTAGAAATTATGATGGAATCTTTCTTGATCAATGCCATTATATAGAAAAAATTTTGAAGAAATATAACTATCATAATTCTAAACATGTTATGACGCCTTTATCATCCAATGTGCATTTGTATCCCACTTTGCATGATAGAGATATTTTCAATCAAAAGGAATATATTAGCATCATTGGTAGTTTATGATATCTTACTGATTGCACAAGACCTGATATTTCTTATGCAGTTGGAATGTTAGGGAGATTTACTAGCAAGTCTAATTCCTTTTATTGGGATTGTGTTAAACACTTAATGGGATATTTATGTACTACCAAAAATTATGGTTTATTTTATCAAAAATACCTTGCTATACTTGAAGGATTTTGTGATGCTGATTGGAACACCTTGTTAGGTGATTCTTTATCTGTTTTAGGGTATATTTTTAAGATGGGTGGTGGTGCTGTGAGTTGGAAATCTAAAAAAAAAACAAATAATTACAAAGTCAACTATGGAGGCAGAGATGATATCATTAGCACTAGCTTCTGAGGAATCTAGTTGGCTAAGAGATTTGTTATTTGAAATTCCTCTATGGGAAAAACCAGTGCCTCCCATACTCATTCACTGTGATAATACTGCTGCCATTTACAAGGTGAATAACAGTTTTTATAACGGTAAATCCAGATCTATTTGAAGGAAATATAGTATTGTGAGGTCCTACTTGGATAATGGGACAATCCACGTGGATTATATACCAACAAGTGAAAATATTGCTTATCGATTTACAAAAGCTCTGGCCAGAGAGAAGATCTGGATTACATCGAGGGGAATGGGATTGAAGCCCAAAGAATGTGGAACTTCCTATGAGGATACCCAACCCAATTCTTGAGAATTTGGGTTTTGAATGGGAAAAACGAATCATAGAGAGGTCATTGTTGAAAGATGCATAAAAAAAAAAAAACATGAATTCTTATCCCATTCCTAAGGTGTAGATGCATCTATCCCATAACGTATGTGAGGGTTGAGTATTATACACTCTTAGTGAAATTTGTAGCTCATTGAGTGGGGTGTCTTAGTTATGGGAGCACCCTTGACAAATTTCACCTATATGGATGTCAGAGTGGGGCCGCTCCTATGAAAATAGGGCTATTCTCTAGATCATCCATGAATATAGGATTAGGCACAAAGGCCGTAATGTGCCGGCTTACTAAGCTCAAGTTAACACCTGGATTATAATGTGTGTAATATGATCTCTTATATCCTCTAAGCAGTCCTAGTTCAAGACTTTGCTCACTAGTGACTTTGGGATAGGAATCATTGTCTTACTAAGTAGAGGTTCAAGGCATTGCTACCTCTATTATACATAATAATCCATCCTTGCCGATAAATT